ATTTCTTGGTTTGAAAAGTGCTGTGTTCACAGGTAGAGTCAATCCTAGTTTGCAGAATTTATTTCCAGTAATACAAGGTCAGAGTTGTGTCTGTCTTTGATTTCTTGGAATCTTTCAATAGAGATCAACTTTTTAAAATCCAACATATCTTTAGGAGACAGCTAGATTTTAAATGCGCCATATTTTTCATATTATCTGGCCCTATTTACAATTGTGTTCTGAGTATATCTTCAGTGATACCATGGATTTTCTTGCGTATTATAACAATCTCTTAACAGCTTTTACAAAGCAAGACCGTGTTTTGACTTGATACTCCTCAACAGATTAGTTGGTGATAGTCCCCCACTTATGAACATACGGCAGTATCAGTTTACTTAAAAAAAAAAACATTATCTTTTGATGAGGGTTAACAGTCAAAAATTTTTTTTAGATTTGGAGGCTCCTGTTATAATAAGGAATATATGAAAAGCTATTTTAGTCTATACCACAGCAATATGCTAATGAAATGTTTGAGCGTTTAAAAAGCATAAGGATGTGCTCCTGTGTCTTAAATATACTTCTTTGAGTGTAGAAAATGTCTGAAAAATGATTGTGATATTCCAACAGTTATTTGGTAAGTAGGGCCACAGACACACAGCGGCTTTGGTAAGAAAGATTTAGGTGAAGCGACATACCTAGTCAGACCTAGTGTGTGTGTGCCAGTTGGAGCGATCCCTTTCAAAACTCCCGTCAGCCTTTTATTGATTCATCCCCACTGCCTACCATTTGACAGTTAGAGGACAATAAAATATCCCCACAATTTCAACAAGTTATTTAAGATCGTGATGTTCAATTTCAGGCCCCAATACACATTTACATCCTATTTTTTTTAGAGCAACACTAAAACCCCAAGTTGTCTAGGTTATCTTTATGTAATGCTTATTACAAATCATTCAGGACACTTTAATACTCCTTTGTAGTGCTATAGTGTTCTTTTTGTACAATATTAGAACATTAATGTAGTAATAGATAAATGAATACCATTTAAAAATTATTCTTTCTGGTTTTGTCTTAAATTTGTCATTCTAGAAACATTCTATAGTCCTTTAAATTAGATTCTGTCACCTTAATGTGCAAATCTATACTGTCTTGTAATAATCTTCACATTTTACTATAGATTCTTGTTAGATACTTTTATTTCCTTCTGGTCTCTTTTCTAGATTGTGAGAATTTATCTCTAGGCATTCTCTCTAGGCCTAGTATATATTGGGGCAGGTGGATTAAGTTATTTGTGGAGCAAGAAATAAAAATAATTTTGCTTTTGATCATTGACTAAAAGCATTCTGTATTCATTCATTCCAGAAGTAGATTTGAAGTGGCCCTGAAAACTCTGTAGTTGTTAGGTGTTCTTTTTATGTATCTCTGTAATCTTGTCCTCTTCTTTATTAACAACAAGGGTATAAATGAAAAGGATTTGGCTTTATTCCTACTAGCTATGTGGCCTTGGATAAATTAGTTGATCTTTCTTAACTCTTCTGTTGTGCAAAATTTAAAGAGTGGCAATTATACCACACAGTTTGGGGGAAGATTAAACAGAACAGCCTATATAAAGATTTGCCTACAATGGGTATTTAATACATGTTTCTTCCATTATTTTGAGTTAGAGGAAAATGGGCAAAAAAAAAAAAAAAAAAAAAAAGACATCACATCCTACACTCAGCATACATTATGGTTCATTGCTTGGTGAAGTAGATATGGCAGTGTTAGAGTCCAGGACTTTTTCTGTACTTTTAGAAAAAAGACCCACCAAATAATCTGCTCTTCTTTTATGATAGGAAACCTCACGATACAGTCCTGTTAGTCTCGAGACTCACTGACAAAGAATACCTCTACTTTAATGATCAGAAATCCACCAAAAACTTAGATTGGAAGTTGTGACTAATATTGATCCTTCTGTATCAGTGTCATTGATTAAGGAACACCTAGCCGTAGAGCAGTAATATATACTCCTGGCTGTGTCTGGTAGGTCATGGGGGTAGCCCCAGGTACTACATATGGTCCCTTGCCCATTCCTCTCTGGCACTCATCTCCTGCACTGCCTCCTGCAGGCGTGAACTAAGTATCTGTGCTTGTTTACGCCCCTTTATAATGTTATTTCTGCCTGGGAGCCCTAGACTGAATTCCCTGAAATGAACTAAATTAAAACTCTTCTGTTAAGTTGAGGGTGTGAGGTATTGTGTCTGTGCGAAGAGAAAACTAACAGAGTAATGTTACATTCCGGCAATGAGTGAAGGTCTAGTTCCTAATTACAGGGCTCAGTTACAGCTCCTAACTCTCACAATGTCTTAATTTCATCATCTGTAACATCCGGGGCCCTGATGGCGCCACTCCCTTCAGCGGTTGTGAGGACTGAGTGGTACATGTGGGTGTTCAGCATCACTCTGGCATAGAGCATGAGCTCAGTAAAGATGGCTTTTAAAAACAGCTGCAATACAAACTTATCTGCTTTCTATTGTGGAATTTATTTTTAAGAGCTCTAATGCCTTCACTAATGGAAAAGAAAAAAATATCTTTAGTCAATGAATTCTAAAAGTGGTTTTAGGCACCAGAATAAATCATTGAACACTTAGTAGGATACAATTATGAGCACTGGCTGTGAAATAACTTATGAAAAATGGTTTTGTTCATTCTGAATACAAGAGGTTTTATAGGAATCAATAGTAATGCATATATTACCACTAATAAAATACATTTAATGACAAATAATGCTAACTGATTTTCTTTTTTTAGTGGTGATACTGGAAATTGAACATACAGCCATTGCACTGAGCTACATCCCAGGCCTTTTTTATTTTTTATTTTGAGACAGAATCTTGCTAAGTCACTGAGTTACTGAGGATGGGCTCCAATTTATGATCCTCAGTATCCCAGAGTTCTGTGATTACAGTCATGCACCATCACACTTGGCTCTTATTGTTAATTCTGAGAGAAAATAACCAGTTTGCACTATTACTGTGTGTCTATTCCCAGGCATCATACTTAGTTTTACCTAGTACACATGGTTGAAAATGGTCAAGGGATATCTCTTCTTGCTTTGGAACAGTACTGACAACTGAATCGCCTCCAGTCCTAATTTTTTAAAGTACAACAGTTTGAAAGATGTGGCAAATGTTTACATTAAATAAAAACTTATTGCAGTAAAAGAGACACTGCCAAGAATGATGGGAAGTGAGAGAAATGAGGGGTACTTTGAAAAGGAAGGTTAACAGCCATGTGTCTCTTACTGTAATAAATTTTTAAATTTAAACATTTGCTGTATCTCTATGTTTTGACCAACCCTCACCAATCAAATGTTTATGGCAATTCCTGTCTAGTAATTACACAGTGTGTCCTCATTCTCATACTTACATTACTCACTAGGTTGTGCACTGTGCAACTTTTATTTCCTTCCAAAAGCCAAAATGACTCTGTGAAAGGTAAATGTTTTGAGGTAGCCTTGATAACACAACTGAAGACACACATGCAAGAAGACATCTAGAACTAGTTCAGAAAGTGACTAAAAATACCAAAACAACAACCCTCTACAAAAAAAGAAAGGAAAAAAACACAATAGAATATGTGTTCAAAGTGAGGGAAGTTCTCTGAGGGAGATTAATTTATTGTAACAAATTTTTAAACTTTAAATTTCACTATGTTTTGACCATACTTCATGTACTGCTGAATTAGTAACCCTGTGTGTATTAATCTTTCAGTGTATTGGCATTGACCTCTGTCTTCTGAACAACCTGACCTCTTTCATGAACAACTCTTGGATGATTTTTCTTTCTCATAGATAGAGATTAATAATCTCACGCTGGGACATTATTTAAGGATACATGATTGTCTCTTGCAACATGAGGACAGTTTCATTCATTTTTCTTGGAGTTGTCCTTCTCTTTAAGCCTATAAGTTGAGACCAGTTGCACAAGATCAACAATTGCTGTACCTACAAGACCTAAGGAACCAGCTGTTCTACAGAGGGGACTCCACAGCTGCTCACCTTCCTCTGGAAGTCAGCCACTGTAAAGTCTGCGGTGCCTGATGAGCTAAAACAGACCATCGCCATGTCTTTGGAGGTAGAAAAGTGTGAGCAGCACAGTGAGAAATACAGTTGCATCATCAGAAAATATGCAGATCTCTAACATTCTAATGGGGGCAGCTATTATTTAACTGTTCTGAGAAACCCTACGGCTTTCTATGAAGAATCCTTTTGTGTCCTGGATTTGAACAAATGGGCAGGTGCCTGTCACATGAATGGGCATCGCCTCCTATCATGTAGTCAGTGCCTGTGAAACAGTGTGTCATACACAGATGAAAGGGATTTCCCAGCTTCCATGTAAAGGTGAGTGTTCCTCAACATCTATAAAGCACATCATACCCATCAAGTATTGTGAAAAAAATCAATTTCCTGTCAGCATCCAGGATCACAAAGTCTAGTTTCTCACTAAATGTAAAAGCAAACATCCAACTTTCCCACACAGAATGTGCCGTGACCGTGAATGTGTTAAAATAAACTAAAATAATAAAATCACAGTACGTCTTGCTTTTCAGTTAGTTAATTTTCAAATTTTTTGCTGCAGCTGAGTCCACCTCATAAATTGTCACCACTCTCTCTGGGGAAAGTGCATAAACAGGGATATAAATATTGGAAATACAAGAGCAGGATTCAGCTCAGGTATGGAAAGTGCTAAACCTAGCAGAGTTTATAAAATGTGCTTATGATAAAATGTGCATGATACTCTATCCTGGCAGTCATATTCAATAACTCCATTTATTTACACACGCATAAAATTTTCATTTTTCATCTAGTACATGCTGAGGGTTTTCATAGTTCTACAATTCACAATTCAGCCATGCAAAATGAATTATGTTCATATATTACTCAGTTTTTCAATTTTTAATTGAGATAAGAGTTTTTAAAGAAATTGAAGTGTATCTTAAAAGTATATATATCTAAAATTTTGACCTAGAAAGATACTCACAGATTTAGTATTTCCTTCAATAACTTCTTCTTCCAGGGGTTCAAGTTTGAGATCCTTCAGAGGAGGAAATGGCAGGAAAAAACAAAACAATGACAGCAAACACCCAGAAATTAGATAGTTAAAACAAGCATCATATATTCACATGCTAGTTTTTTTATGGTGGATGTGCCCAAAGAACCTCATTGTCTAAATGTGATAAAAAAATTCTGATTTTAAAAATTGAGGATGAAATGACACATTACAGTAGCCATTGCTGATTTCCTATCATCTTCTTGTGAAGTCCAGTAATACTTTTATTCTTTGTTTTGATTGGTTTTAGTCTGCTTTGTAGTATTTGATTTCAATATGTGTACGAAGTATACATGTGTATGTGTATGTCACCTACACGTCATGAAGGTATGAACAGCTATTTTGAACAGAGCAAGAGACATTATGGTAGCCATTGTTAATTTTCCTATTGTCTGGTTTTGAAGGCCTATAATGCTTTCATTCTTTTGTTTTGATTAGTTTTATACTGTTTTTGTCTTGTTTGAATTCATTGCTTGTGAAGATATGGACAACTATTTTGAAGAAAACAAGCAGCATTATGGTAACCACTGTTGATTTCCTGTTGTCTTATTTTGAAATCCTGTGTTGATTGCATTTTTTTGTTCTGATCTGCTTTGTTCTGTTTTGTTTTGTTTTAGTCTTTTTAAAATAAAAAAAAAATTAAAAATTGAGGAGGAAATGTAGATTCTGCAAAATAGAAATTAGATAATTTTAAAAAACACCACAAACTTTAAATAAGTCTGATTTTTAAAAATTGAGGAAGAAATGGTAGGCGGAAAAACCCAGAAACTAATTATAGCAAACATTATATCACATGTTAGTTTTTTCATGGTTAATATTGGACTATAATAATCTCATCTAAATGACATGAAATAATTCTGATTTTTAAAAATTTAATTGTTTCAGTAAAGCCTCATTTTGCCCATTTATCACTTGTGAGGAGCTGTTTCATCTGCATTCAATTTTTTTATTACTGTAACTTCATTTCCATGATGTCGATAGAGAGCAAAGGGGAGGAGTGACATACAATAAAACAGTGTGGAAAGATGTAACGGTAAAACAAAGAAAAATTTAGAGTAACTGGTCCTAGCGTGTTGACTTCTTCTGCACTGAAATATGTTGCATTTCTGCTATTTTACTGAAGACAGTAGTCTACTGTAATAATGCATTTACACTGCACCACACATTTTGCTTTACTAAAAAGAAGCGAAGTAAAAAGTAGGTGAAAATACTATTGTTTACTAAGAATAGTATTGTTTACTATTATGAAGTTTACTATTATGAAGTTACTAGTAATAGAAGAGAAGGACTTGTTTAAGACCTTAGCCTCTGGGATGACCCAGTGAATAACAATAATGCCCCCAGTGAAACCAAGTATATAACATTCAAGGACTTCATTCCTTGCATTTCGTCCAAGTGAAGATTATGCATGCTAATTCCTTCAGGTGGATAAGAAACAAACTGAAGATTGCAGAAACTACCTGAACTAACACGAACATGCTAAGCAGTTAGCAGTATTGACCTACTGGCATTGCTGTGGTGGTGCAACTTTGAGGAGGTTATTTATTTTGTCTGTGATTCACTTTGACTGATCCTTCTCTCTCTCCAAGTCTTCCTCCGGCTGGAGTTTTCTTGTCTTTCACATCTCAGCTCAAATGCAGCCTCCTCAAAGACCTTCCCAGACCATTTACTGTAAACATTTGACCTCTTCATCCCAATCACATTGCCCTGCTTTTTTCATAACACTTTCCACTGTCTGATTTTATCTTGTTTCTTAAATTTTCTTACTGGTTTTTTTCTGTCTGTCTCTTCAGAGACCAGAATCTTAGCTGTTTGATAAGCACCATATTCCTGTTGTCACAGTGGTGCCAGACACATAGCAGCTACTCAATGAAGTTTGAATAAATGAATGGCCAGATGAAACCTCCCTCGAAATCACAGCTTTTTTATGAAGGCAAAGTTATATAATAATCAGATGTGAACTGAATATTAAAAAGCATTCTACAGATAGAAACGGCATCATAGTAACATTCTTGACTGCTATTTCCCTGACACCAGCTCAGGGACACTTTTCAATTCTATCTTCTCTGATGCAAGGTGTGAAAAAGATAAACTGTACGACTGTAACATTCCCAGCTACTCTCATTCAAGGGAGGATGTCCTACACTGAGAATAAGAAGGAGAATAAGAAGAAGGCTTTGAGAATAAGAAGGAGGCTTTATTGTTGTCCTTGTTGTTTTTTCAAAATTCAACAAAACGTAAGTATATAGCCATAAATACTTGTACAGGATGAAATGGACAGAAAGAAAACCTGAAGAAACTTGTAGAAATTCCAAGTGCTATTTTTCCTGGAGATGAAAGGAATCTTGTTTGGTTTACAGTTCCCAAAGGATTCATCATAAATACTTAATGCACAGAAAAGATAACACATGTCCCTCTGCAGGCACACTTCTTTTTAACAAGAGATCAAACCTGGTGCCAACCACGGCAGGAAACACGAGCTTCAGCAGCGAGATGACACACACGTAGCCACTGTTTGGCAATTGGGTGGTTTTTCTCTAAAAAATGAATTCAGCTCAGTACAGAATAGGTTGCAGCAGAAGACTGAACTTCCCTGCTTCTTTACTTGTTAAGACAGCTCACGCTGAGCTCTACACAGCTGGAACCCTGCACCTGAAACCATCACATTGTACTTTCAACAAACCTCTCAGACACAGTGCTTGAAATGAAACACTTTCATAGGTAAGAAGTGAGACAAAAAATCTAGGAAAAAGAGACCTGACAGTAAACTTTGGGGAGGAAAGGGTATGACTAAAGCTTGAGCCATTCCCTTAAAAATAACTATAGACATTTTAGATGTCAAATAAGGACAGTTTTCCCAAGAAATTCAAAACTACTTTTAAAAGCAACTTGTGTTCTTTAAATGAAAGCAAAGTTATTTAACAAAAGAACCCTTATGTTTTAGTAAGAGTTAGTTTTCAAAAAGATGCCCTGGATTTCTAGACTTCCAATATGGGAAAACTAATTTCCATAGCTTAAGAATCAGCTTATAGATCAATTGGTGGAAATGAAGAATAAGAAAAGCTGATCTGCAGCAAGCTCCTACTTTAGATGTTTGCTCCAGTAGGAGGTTGATAAATTCAACGAATGAAGACGCCATGGAGAGGGAATGGAACCCTCCAAGACTGTCGCCCCTCGACTGAACTCTTCCAAAGAACCTTCTTTTCAGAGAGCTTTCCTGGGACCCTGGAGTTTTACCTCTGTGGGGACAGCTCTTACGACCTGAAGTCTCTGGCCTGATTTCTCTCCTACTAACATCTGACTGGGTGTTTCCGCCTAAACTTCCTCTTGCACCTTGAAAGAGTAAACAGTTCTAAAAAACTGGTTTGTGTTCTGATCTCATCTCAGAAAGGATCTCTCACTCATCTCTCCTTTTCCTGTTAATGGTATGATTGTCCCCTTCCCATGGTCAGGCTCAAATCCTCAGCCCGTGCTTCCACCGAACTCATTCAATGGTGCTGTTAATTTCATTTCCGATCTTTCAAATCTGCCATTTTCTTTTCCCTTGCTAATTTAGGACAGGTTTACCTCTTGCCATATCCACTGTGGATATGGGATGTACAACCCACACTTTCTTGCCATTGTCTGAGATACCTCTCTGGGGATTGTGAGCTTAGTCTTTTCTTGTTTTAATGCATTTAGCATTTGCCATAGTCCACTTTGCAGACTAAAAGATATTTTTAGTTTGTCATTGAGCTGTTAAAAAATACTAAGTGCATCCTGTTGTCTTCAAGACAAAGTCCAAATCCCTTAGTTGATTACATAAGGGCATCCATGGTCTGTCTGGCCCCCATCCATCCATCTATCCACTCTTCCATCCAAGCTTATTTGTCACTATTTTCTAAATGAAAACTAAACCAAGCCGATCTACTTGACCTTTGCTCATGCACTGCCTTCTCCAGTTGTTCTTATGTACTAAAAGTTTACCTATGATAACTAGGAACATATAATTTTAAAGATCTCTTCATACCATCCTAACTTGCTTGCTTGCACCCTAGTTTGCTTGCTTACTAGCAAGTTGAATGCCAAAACCATCAATTCAACTAACACAATAATTCCCAGAAGTCAAGTGTGAACAGCATAGCCTTTTCCTGAATTTAGTTTGAAAGAGTCTCAAAACTTTATAACTAGAATATCACTAAAAGCTGTCATTAGCATCACTAAAGCATCAGCAATCTATATCACTTAGATAACCTAAGTCAGAAAGTGCAGTTGATTTATTTAATTCTTAACCCTTTATCTTATTTTAAATGTAACTGGAAGCAGAGGGAAGAGAGAGAATTAATGTGAGCTCCTTTGCTTGAAGAAAAACAAACTAAAACCCCCAATAACTACTTAGCAGATTGAGAGAATCACTGAGTTCATGACTGTTATTGTATCCTTGGGGCAGCTATGGATACTGAGATAAAGGAGGAGTATTAGCTAAGGATATATCTTGAAAAGTAGAAAAGAGAAGATATAAGAGGAGTCACATACCTTCTTCTCCAGTCTATCAATTAATTTCTGGAGTCTGTTTATCTGGGTCATCCACTGGTTGTCTTCTTCTAGCAACCCTTGAAGGAAAATGTGAAGGCAAGATGTGAAATTTTAGATAGAAGAGGAATGCTTGATTATCCCTCCTTTTACCCTGAAGGAAGAATAGAGTATTTTGGCTTATAAATACATTTTTAAAAATGTATTCCACTGAGTGTTTTCTAAATTATTGATTAGCAGTGATCCATACTTTTTTATTTTTTTAAAGAAAATAAAACTTTATAAAATAAAACAGAGCAAAGCCAACCAAAACAAAACAGTGAGAGTGATCAGAACTTCAAAATAGGATAATAAGAAATCAACAATGGCTACCATAATGTATCTTGTTATCTTCACAAGAGTTCTCCACACTATCAGACATAGTAAAATCAAATAAAACAAAACAGAACATTAAATTAAAAAAATCAAAACAAAACAAAACAAAACAGTAAGAACAATATTGGATTTCAAAAACGAGACAGAAAGAAATTCCCCATATTTGCTATGTTGCATATTATTATCCTCCTCATAGATGCTCAGACTATCAGTATTAAACCTGCAAAGTTAATCAAACAATACAAGCATTTAGTTATTTTTTAAAGAGATCTATACATCTTAGTGGTTTCACTTTTACAGGCTGACTTTTTATTAGAACACATAAAAATACAGATTATTGGGCTACCTTGCAACATTTTTGTAGGTGCACATAATGTGTTTTGATCATATCCAGACCCCTCTTGGTCTCCCTCTCTTCCTTTCCTCTTCTTTAATAATCTCTCACAGGTCTGCTTCTAATGTTGTCTACATCAGCCTTTGACGATCAGGACAACAGATCCTGCTTATTCATTTTTGCTAATCTATAAGGCAGTTGGTTTTCTTTTGAAAAAGGAAAGCATCAATGAATAATTCTAAAGTTACTTCTAGAGCAGTGGCAGGAGTCAATAAACACCAGCCCTAACGTGGGAGGACATAAATGACTACAATCAAAAAGAAGCCTAAGAACAAGATAACTGTCCCCCCCATACACTAACTCGATGGATTCTCTAATCACGGTTGAGTCTTTCATTCTATACATTCATGTGTGTGACATTTACATACAAATCTATGAGGCCTGTCAAAATATAGAGTGAATGCTTGAATTAAAAAATTGGTTCAGAAAAAGACTATAATAAGCTGCATTCTGAGAGAGAGGGAGACAGAGATAAAGAGACAAAATCAGTATATTGGCATAATCTCCACCCCGTAGTCACCCTCATTTCAAAAAATACTTATTCCATTGTTCTTGGAGGTTTCTGAAGCAGGTTTGGAAGTTTTTTCTTGAGTTGTTTATGAGGTGTGATAAAAACCATGGTGAATGCTGCTGTTGAGTGCCATCCATCAGAAAGACGGGTAAAAACACTGCCTTGTGGTCTCATTGATTTTATTCATTAGATCTGGCGCTCTACAAGTGCTGGTTCTTCCCCAAAGTCAAAATGATCATAGGTTTTGAATCCATTCTGGAACATCAAGGTAGCCATGACAGTGCAACTAAAGACACTCATGAGAAGGGACTTCCAGAGCTGCTGCGGACGTGGCAAGAGCAGTGGGGTAAGTGTGACATGGGGAGGGGAATGGCTCGGTTCTGTGAGTGCTGAGTTTTTAGCCGTGAAATACTTTTTAATGATTTAGGCCTTCACCATATTTTCAATCATACCATATCTGTGTGTACAACGCATAAAGTGTATGTTTTGTATTTACTGTATTTGTAACTTACGTATGTATGTGTGTATATCTAGTATCAGATTAAACATAATAGAAATTCCCCTGTGGTTATTTTGTTGGTTTAATGTTACTATGCAAAGCTGGGGCTTTCCAATTGTGGTCTGACTCCCTGCACAAATTTTCTTGCTCCTCATTACAGCTTGCTCAAACTCCTTCCACAGTGTTTATTGAAATGAGAGTGTGATTGAATTTATGACTATATAAATTTTTGCTTTATCTTTGAATGCAATGAAGTCAATACCTAAACTATAAAAGAGTAGTGCTTCACATCAGAATTCACTTTTCTGTCTTCTTGGGGGAAGAAGTCCGCCAAATAAATTAGGATGCAAAAATGTCAGTTAACACTGCCGCCAAAAAAGAGACTGCGAGAGAGAGCAAAAAGGAGAAACAGAGAGAAGATGGGGGCAGATAGGAAGAGACAGACTGTGTAAAGAAAATATAAATATATAAACAATTTTTATGTTTACTTTTTTCATTTCCAGTCCAGGTTGTGCCCAGAAAGATTGAATGAGGCTGTTACAAGTCCCTAGGAAGGATATGATACTTTAGACGAGCTCTGCTTTCTAAATGGTTAAATGGGAAGAGTAATCTCAAGACTATAGCGTTGTCATTTTTAACAATGTGGTAGATTGCATTATGGCTCCCACTTCCTCACTTTCTTCCTGTTGTATGGGTAAGTTTGTGCATTTACTCTTCTCCCAGAAACTCCCATGTACCTCCTGCTGGAGAACATCTCCCAGCCTGTTGTTACTGTGTGTGAAACATGGCTCATTTGGCCAATGGAAAGTCAGGAGACAAATTGCGCACAGTGGTTTTAAATGCGCTTGAATAATTTTGATCTGGCTCCATGTGCTACTGACACCCACTAGGAAATGAAAGGCTCCAGTTGCCATTCATCCCAGAAAGAGGCCACATGAGAGGCAGAGCAAAGCTCAGCTTGCTGCCTGGAGCCACCTTCCGCTGACATGGCCTGAATCACAGCCAATCATTGACTTGGAAGAGAAGGACAAACCTTTGCAGTTAACCACTGGAATTTTAAGTTTGTTTCCCAATAAAAATGGGCTAATAATCTATTTGATCTTGTACAGTTTCTGCATATTAGTTTCTTTAGCTATAAAGTGGAAAAATTTGTAAGATGTTTGAATGAAATAAGACTATTCAAGAAAGCATCCTTGAATCCTTCCAGTATAATCAATGTAAACACAGGATAGCACTTTTATTTTCTGAAATGTTAGCGATTTAAAGACTCATTTCTGAAAAAAAATGACATGTTCAAGTGATACATGTATTTATATATATGACTGTTTTGTAAAATCACTCCAATATTTAGCAAGAAGCATTTGTGTATTTTAAATTAATGTAACAATTATAAATAATATGGTGAAAATGCAATAAATAATTAGTGGTCTTAGTGTTAGTCAAAAAATCTCATATGACCAACCTCCAAAACACCAGCTCTGAGTAATCACAACATAACAGGAGATAAGGCTCCTTCCCTAATGTGAATTTTGAGCATGGGTAGGGAGATTTGGTGACCTAAGAGCTTACTAGAGTGGAGTTTGTGCCTCTTTGTGTCAAGGTGAAGGGTAACTGTGGGAGACACAGTTTTTTTGGGTGTTAGCTGCTGGGGGACACTTGCTCCCTGCTCACCATTTCTGGGGGTGCTTCCCACAAACAGCTGATAGAATCTGTGTGGAAGGAGGTGTGGAAGTGTTGGGGATGGTTCAACTCGTCACCCACTTCTCAACGCCCTGCACACTTCACCTCTTCAGCTTCAGAAGTAAAAGAAACATGCTCTGTTCCTACACTTGATTAGCAGCCTTTTGTTAAATCATCTGTTGGAAAATCTAAGTACCACTGAGTAGGAAGAAAGGCAGCAAAGGCTGCATTACCAGGCGCATTGATGCTGAACTGCGGGCTGTTGGGGGAGAAGCTGTTGTGTCTCTGCACTCGGCGGCTTGAACGTCTTCCAGGCCACTGGATGGACAGGACTTCTGGCTTGGCCGGGCCCTGCCTGCAACAGAGACAGTGGTGAACCTCAGTGTCCACAGTTTATTCCTACCCTTCAAGCTTCAGGCACAAAGGTTTCTAGGGTACCAAAGTGAAAACTTCTGCCAAGTACTGCTTGTGACATGCCCAAGAGACCTAGGGCAATTTGGTTCTATTATATGTGAATCTGAAAAAGAGAATTTGGGGCTTTTCTTCTTATTCTAATAATTAGAGATCCAAGTACAATTTTTATCTTGTAATTTAAGAAAAACTTCTTTCTTTTGTTGGCTATACCATTAATAGAAAAAACATTTGTGTATCTGTCATTTTTGTTTTTTAATACATGTTTGCTAATTTTTTGATCAAAGTTATACATGCATAGATTTTAAAAAGCCAATTCCATGAATCTTATTTCAACAACAGAAAAAATGCTTTTCTCCCATGTCCAGATTGTAGTGTAAGTGTTGGACTTTTACTGGTTATTATAATGACCTGTTGGTCTGCTCTGCTAAGCTGGAAACGCATGACCTGGTTCTGAAAATTTTTCTTGAATCACTCTTTTGATAGTTTCATTTTCTAAAAATGCTATTTTATAAGTATTAGACATGTTGAATTGTCCTTCTAATTTTATGATTAACTCTTTTCTGTTTTTCATTGCTTTGTGGAGATTTCATCATTTTTATACTGGAATCTTTCTCAGAGAATTACATTTTTGCAATTACAATTTCCATGAGTTCTTTTGTGTCCTTTGAATATTTTATTCAGCAACATCCTGTCCTTAATACACTCTTAGCTTTTTAAAGGTATTGATACTTTTCTTTGAAAAATTTCTTTTGTTGTCTCGATTGTTTCTGCTTCTTCCGTTTATTTCCTCAGGTTTGGTTTGATCTTTTTGGTCCCACCACACCCCGCATTTCATAGTGAAGAAACACAAAGGTGACGTGTGCCTCCCTGGAGCTCCCATTGCCTGCACCCAGTCCCTGCTGCAGGATGGACTGACTAGAGCTATCTCTTCGGGACCCTGATCACAGGCACCATTACAGTACATCCTGGAAGAATCAGGTCCTTCAGAGAAGCAGCTCCCAACTGAGGGATACAACGCTGTCAGAGATCTGGAAGCAGAGAGTGCAAAGGGGGTTTCAGATCTACTGTTCAGTATGGAGACCTTCAATCAATGCCTTAGTTTTAGCATTGTGCCCAGGTTCCCGTATGTGCCAGCTTCATATTTTCTTCCTTTTTCCAGAGAGTACTCCTTTAAGGTTCTTTGGGATGGGAAGGGACAGTCATTTCACAGCAGTAGATAGAGCTTTCAGCATTCTATCCGTCTTCCCATCACCTTGTCACCAGGTTCGCATGGTACAGATGATTTCTGAGCTTCTCTGTGGTTCTGCGATGCTAAATGCTTTGTGTCTTGGTTCTTATATTACCTGATTAAGCTTCAGCTTTCCCAGACTTTTAAGTCTGTTTCCTCAAGATGCAATTCCTTTCAGGTTTCAAGTTTTGCTCCCGTGGCTCTTCTATCTTTATTTTTAAGGGTTAGTGCTTCCTTTTTTTCCATGTAGATTTAATTCCATGTTTGGAGGGTTCAAGGAAGAAACAAAGTAAATCATGTATGTTTAATTTCCAAACTTTAAAATCGCCACGAATTTTCCTGTGACATAAAAACGTCAGCTTTCTAGCAGTGTTGATGGTTTCAGGTATCACTGTTGAAAGCAATATTTCTCTATGTTCAAGTTATAGAACTATTGGCTGTGTAGATATTTATAATCACTTATTGCTGAAATTAAAGCCTTCCTTATGGCTGTTACAGACAACTATCCAAAAGAGAAAAATAACTTGCAAGTCCAGAAGGAATCATCTGTATCCCTGGATATAGAAAAACCTTGGAAAACAGACCAAATGTGCAGATTCCATTAAAAAATGGAGATTCGCATATAATTAAACCGTGTTCCTAGAAATCTAGTGTTTAAGAAAGGGAGGTTTATGTAAAAGGACATGGGTCCTCTAGAGGGAAACATCAGTACAACAGAGTGATTATTTTTGCCACTGGCTATTAGGTACATCCAAGAGACATGGGATTAAAGTATCTCCTATTTAGTCAATTTGCTGAGGCAGATACAGAAATTGTTATACAGTGACATCTGAAAATCTTACCTTTGTGACATCCTAGCTTTACATATCCCTTGTCTCTGAAATTGCCATTTTCACATGAAAAGACTTAGACATTTTACCCAACATGGCATGTCTAACTCATTACTGCAAGATGAATGATACTGTGTGATTCTGCCCTGGGGCAGATAGATGGAATATCAGACTTATCTAAATTTGCTACATTGTAATGAGCCTTTGTATCCCTAGGTTTCACAAATATTAAATCCCAAAGTAATGTCAGTGCTGAAGGGGAAGCAAATTACTACAACTGTGGGAATTTTAATGACACTTGCAGGTTTCAACTCTGGACTGTGTAGAATGCATGAAGTCTTCCTTTATAATATAAATGCCTGAAGACTTTTTGGATACAATGATTTGCTCTGTCTCAGTGAGTCTGCTCTCCTGTTCTTCAAATCATGTGAGGCCAATTTTCCTTAAACCTTTGTTTCAACATATTGCTCTTTTGTTTGCCATCGCCAATAGCAAACCACGATAGAATGTTTCACTTTGAATGTGTATGTCACTCACTACTCCTCTGGAGGGTTCCCTTTACCTAGATTACCTTTCATTTGTTCAGCTTCACATAGTTAAAATGAAGTTGTATCAAGTAGATGTAAACAACGCAAAGTCCCTCTGAATCTCAGAACCTAAGGGGGAAGGCAAATAAGTCCTGGGCTGAGACAGGCATGTAGGAAAGGCGTGGAGTGGGAGCACCTGGTGGTGAGGGAAGAGGATGAAATTCTTTTTCAAGAGCAGTGAAGTCTTCCCAGAGAAAGTGCTGTTCAGTGGTTAAAGTCGGACTTAACCAGATAAGTTACGGGTAAAATGGGCTGGGTGAGAGAAGATGGGCTGATCCCTTCAGAGACAAGAGCATAAGGCTGCTCGAATTCATACAAACGGTCCAGTTCAAGACTTATCTCTCCACGATACTGCATCGCTGATCTCTTGATTCATGGATATCCTGGCTTTCCTTGCTGTCTTTTTCACAGATACAGTCCCTAGTGCTCTCCTTGCCTTTTCTCTCTGTCTTTCTTTCTTTCTCTCTTTCTCTTTCTTTTTTTCTTTCTTTCGCCAGCTCAGAGAGGTGTGACCATGGGGAAAGTGACTAAGCTTCCTTAGATCAGGATAACTTTGCTCTTCCTGCCATCTGATTCACTAGAGACTTCACACTGGACATCCTGGGCACCAACATATGGTAGTATCTTTTCTTCCTAGTTGCTTATTTGCCTTCAGGAAGCAGAATCACAGATTTGGGCATCTCTGGATGCTTTTGTTAAATACTTTGCAGTAATACTCTCCACACGGACAGCAGATTTGCAAGGTTCCCGTTATTTCAACAGTGTTTGAGTTAGAAATCTAGATGTAAAAGGTTCCTTAATTCTCACACTTTGTACTTTTCTTAAAGTCTATATTTTTAGAGTTCCTTCTTCTCCAACCCAACTTCTATGCAGCTGTTGGCAGCAATTATAAGAGTTCACGGCTGGTCAGTGACCTCACACAAAGAGTGTTCATTAAACATTCACTGTATGGTGGCAAATACACAGTACAAGCCTGCAGGAGATAACTCTAGGGAAAAAAATCCCAAAGCACATGGGAAGTGGCAGGCAGAGGGTTTTTCAAGCCTCTTCTCAGGTGGCCAGGGATTAATTTTAAGAGGAGAATTCATTGTATTTTCAGAAAAATCTAAACAAAAGAACAACAATAGAGGCATCATTTTCTCATCAGGAAGATGAAATCGATTTCATTACGCCTCAAGACATTCAGTTATCTTCTGCTCAAAGCTGAGGAGTTGGGTTGTTGCTTTTTTAAAGTTCACTGTTATACTTTGTCATTTAATATGGAATCACCTATCACTGAAAATAGAAAGTTGGTAATGTGAACCCATGGAACGGCAGATCCTGGCATGTATCAGCTACACAAACTCTCTAGATTCTGTAAGTAGAAACCTTTTAAATTAGAACTTGATCACTCTTTTTGACAGTGGAAGTGATTCAAAATTACACTACTTTTAGGCATGTCCTAATAATTATATATCTATTAATTTGTTTAGAAAACTTGATCCAACTGAGTAATCCATTAGCCTGTTCAAAACTTTTTTTTTTTTTTTTCCTTTTTATCAGTACCGGGGATCAAACTCATGACTGCCTGCTTTCAAGGCAGGCACTTATGCTGCTGAGCTAAACCCCCAACCCCAGCCTGTTCAAAACTTAATTGAGTGTTTCTTTCTACTTTATGCTCAAAAGTGAGATAAAGGTACATGGATAGGTTTAAAGTGACATATAGCCAAGATATGTATAAGAGCCAGAGTTGTGCCAAACCCTTCTTTAACTTACAAAGTATGGATCATGACCACTCAATAATGTAGTAGCTGTTGGAATTATTTGCTATCTACACATTTCCAATGTAGGTGTTTCTTTAGCATGAGTGCCTTTATATAGATCAATATTAAAATATCACCACTTGTTTTTGTCACTGAATTTTGCAATCTTTCCCCTTCTTGTTCTATTTCTTTAAATAATCAGGCTTTTAAAAATTTCAAGTCTGCACAGCATATCCAGGTTCATTTATTCTACAAGGTTCTTTCTCATCCTTGCCACTTTTTCAGACTATACTCCTTTGCAACAAAAGCTCAAACGTCATGAGGAAATTTCATGTCATAGAGTTTTATCCCTCTAATAATTTTTTATTTTGGTATCAGCAATCAAACTCACGACTGCATGTTTGCAAGGCAGGCACTTATGCCACTGAGCTAAATACCCAGCCCTTGCTCTAATAATTTTAAATCTTTTATTCTACTGAAACTCATTCACAATTTGCTTTCTGTTCTATATGATTTATAATAGTGTACCTTGCTGTGTGGATTTTTGCTCATGTCTTATTTATATAATAGACTTTCACTTCTTTAAGCATTAGCATCCTGTTAAATGTATATTAGTATCACTTATATTGTCTTTTAAATTTCTCCCTGTCTATTCTCAACTCAGAATTGCTGAGTAAATGAAAGATATCAAAAAAAGAGTGAAATGTTTTCTTTTTAGACTCGAAAAACAAGGCAAGCAGCAAGTGGAGGTCCTTGACAATCGATTTAAATCCATTCATTTTCATTTCTAATTTTCATTAGTACAACGGTTCTCAACTGGTCCTCCACAAAATTGGAACCACTGAAGAGACAGCATATGAAAATGTTTAGTTGCCTTTCTTGACGAGTTTGCTCCTCAGTAGTTTCCATGGCGCATTCCAGGGAATTCTGGAGAGACTGCAGCTGATTCAAAGTTTCCTTTAATAAAAATCGAGTGACAAACTGTTCCAAATTGGAAGCTTCTTGGTAGTCCTAAGGGTGATAAACAAGCACAGTTAAAAGTGTGGTAGGGGAAATTAACCAGATACCACTTCCCCCCATGTGTCCTTTAATCTCAGACTAATTCTAAATAAGGAGACAGGAGAGAAGGGAAAACGATACATTGACTGGTGTGTGGGGCTCAACTTGCCTATCAGAAGCAGGGTAAAGGGGCTACAGAAACTGACTACAGCTGCCTTGCAATTAGGAAACGTGGAGAACAGACATATGTAGAAAAGTAAAAATAATTCTGGGAAATAATAAATAGGGTTGAAGTGTGACTAATGCAGGTTTTGTTCTGTCTCATTTAAATGATGACCATGCCATCATACACTTTCTCTATTACCAGCAATACGCAGTCATGTCTCAGCAATTGGCCTAATTCCCTTGATGTATTTATTATGCTTGATCTGTATTATGCTGAAGGCAGAGGAAATTATGCATAGTTATTTTAAAATTCAGAAAATGTTAGGCTTGGAATATTCCTACAGTTTACTAAATCTGCTCATGTCCCTTGCTGAGTAACTACCTGAAGTTCATTTGCAGCTAATTTCCAGCATAACATTTCCTTCACAAAAGCATCATCCGTCCATCAGCTTCAGGTCTACGTAAAGATCGCTGCAGCCTTAACAGCTGTAATGGTAGAGCCTGTCTAGGTAGGTGACTGAACCCTTAAGTAGTCATACCTGGCACACTATGCAGTCTCAGGAAGAACCAAGGAAGAAAATCAGGCCAGCAAGAATGAAATGTCGCCAGGACCAACCTGAGATCATGGGACCAGCCAACTAAATCTGACTTCCTAGGGGTTTTGGTAGGAACAGTATATTCAAGTTCGAGGAAGTAAAGGATTGGTTTGGCTCTGCCCCTGAACACACTGGAGTGTGTGCGTGCGTGTGCGTGTGCGTGTGCGTGTGTGTGTGTGTGTGTGTGTGTGTGTCTTCAAAATATAAGACTAAAACAATGATGGTGAAAAGATAATGCAATGAGTCACAATGTGTTGTGGAATCAGAAGACACATTTGTAAACCTAAGCAAATATGACTTAGTTATTTAATTTCTTTACGTCTCAACTTTTTCACTTATAAATCAGCCTGGGAACTCCAGCACATATTCCAATACAAGAATATTCTGTGTATCTATTAACTCTAAATTATAAAATATTGAACTGTGACTGCTCGATATAAGTTGTTTTGGAATTTTTCTGTTAGTGCAACCTAATATAATTAAAAAACATATTTTTTTCCTAATCTGAGATAGCAAAAGTTTCCTTCATCAGTCTCTTTTTTAGCACATTATTTGCAGGTAAACAGCACAGGAAATTTTTCTTAGCTACCATGCCTAATAGTATTATTTTAAAATAAAAAAAATTGTAATGTCTTTAAACTTTTAAGAAAACTATAAAACAAATACTATGTTTATTACAATCATAAGGCTTATTATGAATTAAATTCAATTTAAAATATATAGAACATTTAATTTTATTTTATAGTTTCCTATAAAAATTTTAAAACATTTTTTGACACAGCCTCACTAAGTAGTTCAGGTTGGCCTTGCAACCACTTATAGCCCAACTTGGCCTGGAACTCATGTCGATCCTCCTGCCTCAGCCTCCCTAGTACTGGAATTACAGGTCTGTGCTGCTGTACTGTTATGGTTGATACACTGTGGCAAATTGAAAAGTTTAACTAAGAGACTCAGCAGGGATTAAGGTTCTAACTTTGTAAATACCTTCATTCTGTGCAAGAGGAAGGCACAGATATTTTTTGAGTGCTACATCTGCCCTGGGGGGAGCTGGTTTGCATACCACATAATGGAGGAAAAGAGGCTTGCTCTTCCCTCTTTTGCTCTGGTTGCTCTTGTTGGCTGCTGCCTTGAAGTGTTATGCCAGTGCCATGCCACCCTGCCTTGGAGCCAGTTGAGTATGGACTGAAACCTCCACAAACAGTGAGCTAAATAAACCTTTCCTTCCTTAATTTGGTGTTGAGTATTTTGTCTCAGAAACAAGAGAAAAGTAACCAAGACATACACCCAGCTAAAACATTTTAAAGTGTGCTTTTTAAAATCAAGGCAAATTTCTTTGGAGATGGAAAGAAAATATGTATTTGAAAAAAAGCTTTTTGATTCTTTTTACATAGTTGTTTGCATTTTGTCAATCCACATTGCTAAAATTTATTAAAATGATGACAAATACTAATACATAGAGATTATGCAACTACTTTTGTATCTCAGTATATGCTGACTAATCCAAAGCGAATGACACAAGTTTGATTTTTATAGACGGTACTGAAAAGTGAAGGAAGCATTCACTCACTGAAGAATAAACCATCGTGTTGGCCAAGTATTCTTTCATTGAAATATTAAATATAGGCCATGTCATGTCAGAACTATGAGATGTATGTACATTTTCTAGTTAGTTGATCCAAATACTGCAGTCACTGCAATTTGATTTTGGCTTCTTGGACACCAAGGTTATGCCTTATATTTCCATATCCTTCATGGTGACCAGAGTAGATATTCACTCACTACCTGATTGTTTCACAGATAAACTCCTACACTAAAATTGATTGCATTGCTATTGTTGCTCCCACATACAAAGATTTTGATGCCATTAAAGTTAGATACCTAGGGAAAGTTATAATTTGGCAACTAACTGCTTCATTGTTGCTTCCTTACAGCCAATCAGGAGGTTTTGATGATGCTGATGTTTCCATCTGACTTGAACCAGAGAGTTTTCTATCCCCACCAGCCACCCTTTAGATAGCATTGTGAAACGTCACGACTCATTGGTTAATATATTGGGCAGAAATCTTGCTGCCTTGACATTGAAGGGGTGGTAGGTGGGGAAATAGCTTTGAAAGATTAAGTTTTTTGAGTCAATTATGAAGGCTTGATGTTGTGTGCTGCCCTTGGAAAATAAAGAGAAGAGTTTGTTTCCTGATATTCCTGCTCATCCTACAGGCTCTCTGGCACCACCATCTCTGCACGTGGCCTTTCCTCGCCTGGAACCAGCCTGCCTCCTCATAGCATCAGGCACAGTTCCCTTCCTTCTGTGCAAGCCTGTGACGCCTTTTCCTAGCCAGGGTATAGGAGTGTCACTTTGTATTGCAATCTGTTGTTTACTGTTTTTCTGCCCCATTTTCGGTCAGCTCTTTATGGGTAAAGATTACGTCTTATTCATCTGTTCCTCCAGAATGCTCAGGATGAAGACTGGCTCACTAGCAGCTGCTCTGTAAATGCTTAAAGAGAATGGGAGGAATATGTGAGGGACCCCCCTGTGAAGAGGAAAGGACCCAAGGAAAGTCTGAGCCCCAGGCACTGCCCTTGGGCTCCCCAAGCCTGCTCCCTCCCTCTGCACCACACCCTCGTTGTGTGTTGATGCTGTAGTCCTGCTTTCTTGGTCCTGTGGGCTCTGCAATAAAGGGAAATACAACTCTGCTCTTTGCAGACTGTTTGTCCTCATTTCATTTCCTAGATCATTTGGAGTCTTCTTTCCTTCCTTTATTCTGGTTCTTAAGCTCTGGGCCTGCCGGCCTAGGTGGTTCAAATCCAATCTTGCTTCTTTTCTCTCAGATATGCAGCAGATGTTCCTTTGGAAGTCAGTGGCAAAAGAAGCAGATGGAAAATTAAATAGATAACAAGCTGGAAAATGTCAAAGCCTGGCCCTTTTTATTCTCAACAAATGTGTTGGTTGTGAAGGTACAAAAAGAGATCTTTGGATTCCTCACTACCCTGAAGATTGATATGTTGGTGTAAAGGGCATGTCCTTTGTACAAAACCCAGAATTTGAAAGACGGGCAGAAAGAGCCATCAATCTAATAATGTACTAACCAGTAAATGTGCAGATGACACTGAATATCCTGATTCTGCTCTTTATTTCAAATACAGCTTTGTCTGTCATGCTTATTAGTAGAAATATGACCAAATGGAAGCCAACACTACATTCTTATCCCCATAATACTCATTCAAGTCATTGATAAATCTCAATTACATGAATCATTAAGTGGAAATCAACAAAGTAAAATTAATATTTCTATTTTTGCCTTTGGAAAACCTGCAATAAACATTTCAATCTTCGTATTTTCTTTTGTGGAGCTGGAACAGGACTAACATTCATCCAAGTAAAAATTCTAGCACTGAGAGCATAGTATTTTGAAAATCAAGTTTCTTAGGGGACTGCTTGTGCATTTTAATTGTCAAATCATTTCTTAGTAAGCAAGCTCTGCCCATCTGGTTGATGGAAAAGAGGAGATGTTAGTTATTAACCCACTATGAATCATCTGAGTTAATTAGGAAAATCAGAGCATGAGGCTTCCTTGTTTGTATTCGCCCTGTTTGAAGACTAATGAAGCCAGTGACAGTAGTCTCAGTGTCTCCTTGTTTATGAGGTCAGAAGCGATCACATGTAGCAGGGGGTACTGCTTCTAACTGCCTTTTGATTCAAGCCCCTGTGGCTCTTGCCAGTCTTGTGTGAGACATCTGTGCCAGTTTCCTTAACAAGAAAAAACATCACGCTGCAAGGATAAGGTTATGTCTTTCTCTTTCACGATCCTTCTCAAAACTGTGACTTTCTTTTTTATAATAACTGGCATGCATACATTACCTATTTCTTACCATTTGAAATAGCACATAGTTTTTTTTTCCCTCAAACATGGAAAATAGCAAATTTATTATTAAAAAAATGAATAATTGGTTCTTAACTGTCTTAAAAATGGGTTGAGGTTGCTGGACATAGTGGCATATGACTATAACCCTCTCTACTCTGGAGGTGAAGAAACATCGGAAGTTTGAGGGCAGGCTGAGCAACTTAGTGAGCACTTATCTCCAAATAAAGCATTAAAAAAGAAGGACTTGAGGTGTAGCTCAGTCTACATCACTTTCTAGGATGTACCAGCAAAAATCTCCAGATTTAAACACTACCCCCCCACACACACACATGTGCACAAGACAACGGTTAATTCCAGGTATGTCACTGGAAATCTTAAAAGGTAAAACAAG